ATTTCCTTACCAGATTATGTTAACGTAATATAGGGGTCAATATGTAAATAGAATCGCTTGTCATGGTATGCAAAATAAACCTCCATCTCGCACCAAAGTAAGATCTCGTTCCCATTAGGAACGAAGATGGAAATAAAGGGAAAAGATTTTCGTGAAGGTGGAGCATTCAGTTAAAGACATGCATTCAAGGAGAAAAATGGATTGGAGTGCGCCCATTAGGAGTCGAACCCACAATGGCCTTCAGATAAGTGCTTGAGATGCTCTGTTAGTGTGCTGTAGGAGACACACCCCAGGCAATACCGTTTAACTAGGTCCAAAATGGCAAATTTCCATCATACCTCTTAGATATGAATTTCAAGTACGATGCTTTTGCGCCATCATGATGGAAATGAAAACGGTAAATCTTAAGCCTGACGATTTATGTGAAAGATTTATGTCATAGGCATGCTGTGATGAAAAAAAAGAAAGAAAAACTCCTAGTGCTCTCAACAGGATTCGAACCTACGACCTTCCGATGAATACTTCAGATGCCCTACCACTGGGCTTTTGTCGACTCGTGGTAAGCTAGGCCGTTAAAGAAGTTCTGAGGTAAAAAATGTCCCACCATGATGCTTTTGCGCAACGATGACGTAAATGAAGATGATAAATTTTAAGCCTGGTGATTTAACTGAAATATGACTTTGTCACTGAATGACACAGAAATACTCGGAGAAAAAAAAAACAGAACAAAAAAAGGAGTGTCTCCAATAGGATTCGAACCTACGACCTTCAGATGAGTGCTTCAGATGCTCTACCACTGAGCTGTAGTAGACTAGTTTTAGGATAAACTGTTAAAGTAGTTCTGTGGTGACAAACTTCCACTATACCGCTTGGATAGGAATGTCGAATGTTGGTTTTGCACAATGATGATTTAATGAAGATGGCAAATGTAAAGCCTGTTGATTTTATGTTAAAGATGATGTATTCAGTGAGCGACTCAGGCATATTTGGAGAAAAAAGGATTCCGAATTCTCCCAATAGGATATGAACCTAACACCTTCCGATTAGCGCTTCGGATGCCTTACCACTGAACTATAGCCGACTCGTGGCAAAGTAAATCGTTTCATTAAGTCCATGGTGAATAACTTCTTCCATACTGTGAGGATAGTGCCTCTGTCACTGCTCTCTGACTCAGTGGCAGGCGTACTGGATTCTGGCGGATAGGCTTATTGTCTCCGGTATTGATAGTGCGTTGACATTTATTTTGTTCTCCCCAGGCAAACACATCAGCAAATTTAACTAACGACGTCGCCATTTTTGCTCTCCGAGATTCTTCCGGGCTTGGTGTGGTTCGTGAATAGAGGGCGACTAGATGACCTAGGACCGATTTAGTCAAAGCTGATAGAGCTCAGTGGCAACGCACCCGAAGTTTTAATCGAAAGGACGCACGTTTGACTCCTATGAGGAGAACTCGGAGTTTTTTAAAATCTCATATCCTCTGAATATGTTTGCGTTTTTCTCTGAATGCACCGTCTTTCACTTAAATCGCCAGGCTCACCTTTACCATCACCACTGCGCAAAAGTATCACATTCGACATTTCTATCTAAGCAGTACGCTGGACGTTCACGATGGACTTTGTTACATGAGTCCCCTATGGCGTGACGTGGAAAGCCTACGAAATCGGTTAATACCGACCGAAATGAGACGGAGAAATGGGACGCTTCTTTTCAATAAAACAGGGTAAAAACACGGCTGTGGGATAGAAAGAACCTGTACAATCTTGTTGAAATAAGTCCCTTAACATTGGCCAAAGCGGTAAATGTAAAATACATTTAAAGGTAGGTACGACAATTCTCAAGATTCCTCCAAAGTAATTGAATTTTAATAACTATTTAAGTAACATAAGTACATTCCCTACGTAAAATAATAGCTTTAAAACGGATGTACAAATACGGTCCTATTTTATGCGTAAGAATCGTTTCTAGACAAACTGCAAACGAGAAAATGTGTTCCTTCAAAGAGTCTTTTCTGATAGATATTCACGAGAACTTTGCAATCTAATTGCATTCCAATCCTAATGGGCTCCTGCGTTTGTTTGTTCATTTATTGTTTTCTTAATTCTTGACAGGTTTTTACTACCATCATAATCATTTTTCATTACATCAAGATTAGCCATTATTTTTCTAAAAATTTTAATTAGATCCCTATATTTTGTTGATTAGTGAGTAACGGCTCCCGCATGAGCACTGGAAACTACTCTGGAGTACTTCTGAAGTAGTCCCGTGAGCCTTCTGGGCGGTGGTTGCCATCTTAACTTTCGCTCGCGCAGCACGTCATCTGTGAGTTCCTGAGAAAGAAATTTGTATCATTTTTGAGAAAAGTGTGCTCTTGCGCAAAACCGCTTTCCTTGTTTAGGAAAAGAAAGAAAACGACGACAACATTAAGCTCATTGGTCAAATAACCATACAATGCATGTTTGTATCGAGCTTCTGACAGAGAATAACTCTGAGTCCCAGGGGAGAATGCAGCCTGCGACTTACATCTATAACCGTCTGTTTTCATTCTATATTAGATCCATTTTAAAAACACTGATGAAATGCTTGCAATCTGATTGGCTTTATGCGCGCTCGTTCGATTTTGAAATCACGAGTATGAATGAAGACCAAATTGCACTACACTCAGTTCAGTTATCATTATAAATCTGCGCTGCATAGGCTGGTAAAAAAAAAGTCATCTCCATCCTTTTGTTATTGAAAGGTACTCTAAATGATGGTTACTCTTTCTAATTTTTCCGGAATCACAAGGCCAGCAGAAAATAACGTGCATTTTTAGTCTCGCAGTAATATTCATTTGCTGTTTGTGGTGCTAATATCATTGTTACCAAGAAAAGATTGCAAAAAACATAAAGTGGACTGAGTTTCCTGAAACCAAAACCAAGGAAATCACAACAACCAATCGGAACAAAGGAAAATATTTCAAGGAGCCAATGAAAAATCAAATTAAAACAGGCAAACGGTCTGAAGCACTGGAAATCAAGTGAACAAGTCGCGATTGGTTTACGTTTTGGATTTGATTGATTGAGAAAGTGGCGAAAGTATTCTGGACCAATCACAGAGCTGAAAAAAGCTAAACAGAAGCAGACCTAGATTAAACTAAACTTACCACATGCAAAGTTGCATTTTCCTGGTCTATTACTATGATATCACCGTCCTGTATCAACCCTATTGGACCTCCGACCTGAGCTTCAGGTGACACGTGACCGATCATGATACCATGGGAAGCACCGCTGAATCGTCCGTCTGTTACCAATGCTACTTTCTTTCCCAGTCCTGCGCCAACCAGGGCACCGCTGGGGACCAGCATTTCTGGCATCCCTGGACTAAACATGAAAAAAATATTTTGAAAACTTTCTCTTAAGAAGCTTTAAACATTTCAGCAGAATGGATATTCATCATTCCATCTATAAAAAGGGCAAATTCGCCTGAGCGCCATTAGTTCACATAGGCTTAAAGGTAAAAAGTTTATGCAAACTTCTGGTGTTTCAAAAATTGGTAGAGCTACTGGAAATCTTCTTACAGTTACATAATGCTTGACTTTTTCATTATTCATGAAAATCTTTGTTTACGACAATTCTTTTCTTTCAGGAAAGTGTGGATAGCTTCTGTCATTTACCACGTGAACCTAATTGTGGTTATCATGTATAACAGTACCCATAAAGCCGTTGGGTCTCATCACTGATTGCTTACCCTATTAGGGTCAACGTTTTTGCAGTATATTGGCGTTTGTGTCCGAAGATTTTCTCCTGATAGTTGTCGGTTTTAAAAAAATCAGTCATCAGATAGAATTGCTACTTCTATAAATTAATCTGAAATTAACGAGTAAACGCTAAGGAGATAAAGATTCAAATGAGTGATAACAACAACATAGATGAATACACAAATAAATAAATAAACAAATAAAAGTTACCCTGTTAGCACGCTTTTGTTTTTAAGTAATGCATGAGTTCACGCCAAAAAAGGGAAAGAGGACCACGTGACAAGAGAGTTCAACCAGTGTCGACAGATTGTAATTTAGACTAGTCTTTCGTGAATTTTACGAACTAAAAAGTCGTTTTATTTATTTTGGAAGCAACATATACTAAGACTGAAATGTTCATTGAACATTGAAGCACTGGGACTGGGACTAAGGACTGGTAATAGTATATCACGTGCAGACCACTCACCTACCTCGTGGACCTTCATATCGAATGACCAGTACATCGCCGGCTTTGATCTATCAGAGAAATCGGGAACTTCATGAATCTTTTTATTGATTTGTAAGATGATTTCCATAAACTAACTTCGTCACACCGTTGTGGCTTCTTCTCGACTGCTAGCAATCATCGCGAGTTGACGCAGAGAACAATAACAGCAACAATAACGATAATAATGGGCGGACAAGATTACCAGATCTGTAAGCGAGCCCAGATGGAACTTTTATCGCTTGCCTGACTAACGAGCCAGGGTAGTGAATTTCGAAAGTAATACGAGATTGCGCCACTCTCTCAACTTATTATAGCAAAACCTTAATTAACTGCGATGCTAACATTTAATCTGGTTGGCCTTTGCGATTAGTTTGGTTCTGGTTTTACGATACTCAATACAAAAGAGCTCCTTTACAGATGTGTCAGATGCAGTCACGGACATTGGACTTACTTTTCCCTTCATGACACTTTGAAATGCTTGCTCCTCTCCATCAAATACCACTGCCTGCACAAAAAGAAAGAAATCTTATCCATGCTTACGCTCTTACACAGACAAAACACTGCAGAGCGCGAATGTGCGCCCAAAGAATGGTGACAGTCAGTCGAGGAAACACTATCAAAAAGTAACTGATTTAGCTGAAAGGATGTGGAAAGAGAAGTTATTCTGCTTCCATTCATGTAAATACTTGCAGGAACTTTGTACGTTATTCTAATACTCGAATGTTACATTGCTATTTGCTATCCATGAATCAAAATGAGGCGATTGCGTGTTGTCTACAAGGGAACAAAAGATCTTCGCAGGTGAGCCAAATTTACAGAAATTACAGATTCGAACTCATGTCTCTCAAATAGTTGGATGCTGCTGCCAACTAAGTTACGAGGCCACATGCTGGGAGCGAGGCAAATTTTCATGGATTATTCGTTCCCGTCAAGGAACCTGATCACAATTCAACAGTGGTGTTGAATGCCGTAGAAATCTGAATTCTTTAGGCTCTTTTTCTTCCAGCTCACTTGCGAGGATCTCGTTGTTACTTGATCATCGTGCACAGGTCAAAAATAAAAATTTGCAGCAGAGTAGTACCGTGCAATTTTTCGCCGGCCAACCAAAACAAAGCCATAAAGTTACAAAGACACTTCTTCCCGGATTTCCCTCGGACAAATGATGCAAGCGACGGCTTAGAAAACTAGTCCATAACTACGGTCTTACCAGATTACTGTCAGGATTATCCCCGACTTTTAGAGAAATATCTAGGCGAGCAAGCTTTAAAAGTCAGGAAGCATTTACTGTTCGTCAGCCGGATGAAGGTGAGAGTGATCGAGAAAGAGAGCGAAAGGAAGAATGTCTCCACACTCAGAGTACTATAGTCGTAACCACAATGGCCACTCAAAATTCATACTTGCGTCAGGGATTGGATCCCATTTCCACATATCGGGCTGCTTTCACCAACTGTCCGAAAAAACAGAAATATGTCTAGTTACAGCACATACGTATTTAATCTCTGTATTACTCACCGGACCTCGAAACACTCCAGCTATATCCTTTCCACTTAATTTAAGTACAGCGCTCTCAGGAGCAAGATTCCCCTGAAAAAGAGATCACAATCTCGATAAATTTTCTGGAAAAATTGTGTAGCTACTTGCATTTTATTTATAACGAAACTGATACGAGAAAATTCCAGAAGATCCTTATACCCGTTTTACTTAAATTTATATCTCAAATTGATAAATTCGTAAAGATACAGTGGTAACATACGAGCAACATTATCACCGACGTGTGTCTTTCAGAAACATATCTTGGACTGTAGAAATGAACACATTGTATAAACTGTAGATAGCTTTATTGAGCCTTTTAAACGGACTATCGGAAGCCCCGAAAGGAACAAACGAAAAGGCTGGTTTTGAGACTCAGACCTGCACGATTGCAGATTTTAAAACTATCGATTTATTAATATTGCTTCGGAACCGTTAGCAGGACTTTTGAGACAGGCCGCTGACCGGGGAAGCGTCTAAGGGACGAGGTTCAGCATTTTGTCTGGGCGCCTGTACGTAGCCCGGTCAGCTAGCGAGCTTGTAGTAAATCAGTTGTGCTCCTGAATAAAATAATGTGAGGAGAAACCAACATCAATATTGGTTACGTCACCTTTAAAATCAAGATGTGTCTGCCAGCTGGCGCCACTGGAGATGAAATTGGAAACACTACGTCCTACGACATATGAACGAATAAGAAG